GGGGGGGGGGGGCGGTAGTGGTGGCCGGTGGCGGTGCGGAGGGCAGCGTGGAGGGAGGTTAGATCGGAGCGGGTGGGATCGGTGACCGAGACGCCCATGTGGCCCATGCGAAAGTACGAGTCCTTGATGGCCGGATGCAGGCCGCCGGCGACAATGACGCCTGCGTCGAGCATATCGGAGAGGAACGCCGGCGGTGAAGCATCGGATGGGTAGTAGGCAGCGGTCATGGTGGCGGCGGCGTGATCGCGCGAGGTAGGGACGAGCTGGAGGCCGAGCTCCGACTGCACTAGATCCTTGACGGCGTCCGAGGCAGCACGATGGGCGGCAAAGCGGGCGTCCATGCCACCAGGCGCGTTGACCATGGCGTCAAGCGAGGTGCGGAGGGCCATGACGAGCCCGGTTGCCGGAGTGGCAAAGTACGCTGGCGAGCGGGCGGCGTAGGCCTGCATGATCGGGAGCCAGTTAGCCCAGTCACCGTAGTAAGTCGTGACCGGCGCGTCGCGGGCAGCATGAGCGGCGAGCGCCCGCGGCGAGACATTGAGCAGGGCCAACCCCGGCGGGAGGCCGAGCGCTTTTTGTGAAGCGGTGAGGTAGATGTCGACGCCCCACTCGTCCATGCGCATCTCGTCGCCAGCGGCGGCGCACACGCCATCGGCCACCACCAGCGCGTCTGGGACGACGCGATGGACGGTGGCGGCGGCGGCGGCGACGTCAACAACCACCCCGGTCGAGGTGTCAACGTGGGTGATAAAAACTGCATCCGGTGCTGCGCCGGCCGCGGCAGCGTCGACCAGCTTGGCTTCGAGCGCCGAGAGGTCGACTGTCTCACCGGGGCGATCCACAGCAAGCACGTCGACACTCGCGCCTGTTCGACGGGCAATATCAGCCATGCGGTCACCAAAGTACCCGGTGCTGGCCACCAGCGCTCGTGAGCTCGGCTGCAGCACGTTAGCTGCCGCCATCTCCATGGCGAGCGTGCCCGAGCCGGAAACAATGAACGGCTGGTTGTCCGCCGCCTCGCCAAGCGTGGCAGCCTTGAACAGCGCCAGCGCCTCGGCATACGCCTCAATGATCTGCGGCTGGACATGCGACCAGGCCTGCCCGGCCGAAGCCTCCAGCACAGCATCGTCGACTTCGATCGGTCCCGGAATCATCAGCGCCGGCCGATCGCCTGCTGCTGCTGTGCCAGCCAGCCACCGCCGTGGGCCAGCTGCTGCGGTTCGTGTGACTGCCGTAGCCGCACGCAGGCAGTGCAGAGGTGTGTGGAACATGTTTTGTGGAGGAAAGAGGGTTGAGTGGGGGGGTTAGGGGTTGGGTTGGGGGGGGG